ATGACATGGACTATTTTCTCAAACACATTTCTCATCTTTGTTGTTGTAAAAGACGGTCTATATTATAGTCACTCTCTCAGGTTAAACCCTATCAAGGAGTGCTTTTAGAGGATGTAACCTTCTGAACCTAGCCTCAAACTATTAAAATAAATAAATCATATGATCTGGACATATGCTTGAGAAAATAGAATTCTAAATTTAAATATAGTCCAATTTTTGGGAATTTTTGGGCATTAAGTTCTAATTTTTAAAAACCTAAAATCAATTTTATTCTTGAAAATACTCATCCAATGATTCTAAAGTAGATTCTTAAATTTGAGGGTTAAATATATTTTGCTGAATAATGTGCTTTATATGGAGTATCAATACGGGTATAAAAAATATTTTGAATTTGTTTACTTGATTATTTCAATGAAAAAGTTAATATAAAGTTACAACCTTAAAATGTAGAATTACATATGCACTTCAAAAATCTATCGGAAAAGTTTTTTTAATGTTGAAAAAACCTCTAATTGATCATCTCGACATCCAGATGTATGAATATGAAAAAAAAAAATGAGTCCCAGAAATAGTGCATCTTGCAATACATTATCTAGATCGTCTACTTTCAAGATTTTCATATATTTATAGATCTACTTGATTTTAACCATTTTTGGAGTTTAAAATTTATAATTAAATATAAAAAAATATTTTGAGATAATTTTAAGAATGTTTTTCACCAAAATTATATATTATAATAAAATTTGGAGGTACGCCTTAATTGGATTGTTTAAGATTACAACCTTATAGAAACCACACCCTTACTTCAATTAAAATGTCTAAATTAACTAAGGGTTTGGTTATAAGTTGCGTCCAATAACATGGGTTTCCCCTTATTTCATTGTCCATGCTTAGTGACAGAAATGAAAAGGCCAATGCCGTCAAATTCACATGTCTTGGGCCTGAAATGGTGGGCCCATTCGGCCCAGGCAGCTCAGTTTTGTTGAAAAATAAAATATATTATTTTTATAAACAAAATATATATAAATGAAAAGGTTTATATAAAGTGTCAACGTTATACAATAGAGTGAGTTACACTTCAAAAATCCATTAATGATTATTTCGATGCTAAAAAATTTGCCAATTGATCATGACGACCTCAAAAGATAAAGATATAAAAAGAGAGATTTCAATCCTAAAACTAATCAATCTTAAAATACATATCAAGAACATCAATTTTTAATATTTTCAAACCATCATAAGAGTTTACAATACAAAAACTGAATTTTTTTACCATGGATAAAGCATCCCCAAAAGGCCATACGAGAATATAAATATTTTCGTTAATTAATAGCTATAGGGCCTTGTCTACATGCTGCGCCAAAAGACATTTTGGCGCTAGTTGGGGTGTTTGTGAAGGTCATTGGTAAAATGGATTTCACCGGCCCTAGCTAAGGCCTTATCTTAGCTAGGACTCACATGGTGCTATCATGACGACCCAACCCCATTCTCACTTTTACAAGTTTAAGTGGGCACACATTCATGAAATTTATTGAGACTAAAACATAAAATACCTCTCTCTAAATGACCTCATTTAATTGGAACTCCAAACATGTATTGATTCGAAGCAAGTTTGCAACCGATCTAGGAACGATTTTATAAGAGTTCTTTTAAAATCTACACGTTATAAAACGTAAAGTTTTTGTGACCAAGAATAGCTTGCGGCTTTGACAGTAGTATTATCGAGTTTTTTTAAAAAGAACTCTGACTACATCCTCACCAAAAGATAAAGGCTCAAATTTCCACTTACTTACCACTTTGAGTTACCCAACAAAAAACACGAAAAAAAAAGTTTTTGTGACCCTATTCAATGTAACACCCAAACTTTGGTTCTCTTAGTAGTGCTACCTAAACCTTTCCTAGAGCATCAAATCGAGGTCAAAACATTCACCATGGACGTCACACTATTTTACTCCTATGTCCTATGCAAGAACTCAAAATCCCAACTCCCACTTTAGGTTTAAAACTAACGCCTTACAAGAGTATCCACGATATCGTCCTCTAAAACTTTACTATACCTTCCAATTTCCGGAGAACATTTATTTTTAGGGAGTAGAACATGTTGTGCTTTGTACAGGACAAGATGTTCCATATGTGGCAGAAGATAGTTGTGCCTAGCCAAGCACAATTCACAAAACTAACAGGTATAGACTTTCCAAGTTTCAACAGCATCAACTTTGAAAGTTTTAGCTCCTAAAAATCTATGACTAAAGATCTGCCTCTCTTTCCTAATTGGGATTGTCTATAAAGAGATCATTTATCATTTGTACATAGAGGTCACAATCATTCTTGTGTTTAAATTTCAAAATAGGTAGTTATAAAAGTGTCATTGAATAGATGCGAAGTTCTAAAAAATAGTATATATTCTTGGATTTTGTGACTCACTACAAACCATTCAATTTGACATTTAGTAAGTGGGACTGATTGTGATCTTTACGTACAAAAGATAAATGGTATTTTTGAAGTCAATCCCTTTCTAATCACGTACCCAAAAAAATCCCTTTCTAATCACAAACTCTTTTTCTCCCCTTTCGGATTTACAATCCTACTAGAGAGTTCCTAGTCCTTAGATCTATGGCTCAAATAAGAAGTTCTAGCACAAGCTATGCCCAGTGTTAGCAAAATCAAACCGGGACGATTAACTGGACATAGACCTGGAAGCAGTTTAACCGGCCTAACCAATAAACCGGCTTATTCAACCATTCTAACCGGACAAGTCCTAGGCGGTAAAAAAAGCATTGAAAAAAATAAAGAAATATACAAAAAAAATCTACTACAATATGAAAAGCGTATAAGGAATGATTAAAATAAAACATATTCAAATGAAGTTGAAAATTAATGAAAAAATGGATTTTAAATAATCGATTGGTGCCTATGGGTATTTTTAAATATTTTTGAAAAAGATGGGAAAATATAAAAGTGAGTATTAACAGTTAAAATAATTTTTAATCTTTACCATAATGCAAAGAATATTAAAAAAATGTATTACAAACCAAATTTTTTATTTTTTAGAATTTATATATATTTTTGAATTTTTTTTTTAAATACCGTTCGATTACCAAAACCGCCCAAAACCAGAACCGGTCAGTGGTCGTTTCCTATCTAACCGAGCAATTACCGGTTAGATCGCCTGGTTTTTCCAACAATGGTTGTGCCACACTCTATATGAAACCATACAAACTACCTTGGGAAGTGTGTGCAAGCTTCCATAAGCGATTTAAGATTTATAATTAGGCATAAAAACAAATTGTGGTTTAAGTTTGTTTGCAAGGGTCCGAGCCTGAGTAATTCAGCCGAGTGGAAACTACTCAGCCGACTTTTCAAAAGCTGGGTCAAATATAGGCCCATCCACATTGAATATCTGCAGACCAGTTCCATTCATTGATATAATCTCATCTTGGGGATCTTTCCTCAAAGGAAAAAGTTTATATAAGGATGCTATAAGAACTACGGATGTCCCTAAAAAATTTATTAGAAAAGGTAGTTTTAATGTTGAAAAACCTTTTGATTGATCGTCTTGACATCGAGATGTATGACTATGAAAAATAAAAATATTTTAAATATCAGAAATAGTGCATTTTACAACATATTATCTACACCATCCATTTTCAAGATTTTCATATGTTTATAGATCTACTTGATTTTAACCATTTTTGAAATTTAAAATTTTATAATTAGATATAAAAAATAGATTATGAGATAATCCTAAGAACATTTTACATCAAAATTATATACCATGATAAAATTTAAAAGTGCACCTTACCTCTACACCTACGGATGCATCCGTATGCAAACTGCACCCTTCCTCAAATCATATATCACATAACACATTTCACGTTAATTTGGAAAGCTTCTGCTTTGGTTTTGTACCAAGGCCCATGAAGAGGCTTGTAGTCTCTTCATTTTCTTTTAATTTTACTTCTAAATTTTTCACTTGATTTAAGAAACCTATATATCCATCATTTCAAATCCTGCGTTTAGATCTTCATCTGTTTTAATTTGTTTTGATTCCAAAGCCTAATGTGGTCACTGCCAAGGTGGTATATGAAATATAGTTGTATATTAGTATACATTTGGCTGGATCTCTCTCTTCAACTGAGTCACTTTGAAATCTTCTTTGTCACCAAACTGGCAGCATTTGATTTCGATATAAACAACTTTGAACCAAGATTTTGTCAGGTTTTGATTCTAGAATCACCATGTAAAATGCAGAGGATGCAAAGAGAAAAGGTTGGAGGGATCTTGAAGTGGGAACCAAGCTTTCCATTCATGGCAGTTCCTTGTTTGAGGCCTTGATAATGCACAAAAAAAAAAGGATCAAGCAATATAAGTGTGTTGGGAGTCTTGGATGGATCTTCCAAAATGGATTATCCAAATCAAGGGTATTCATTATTTTCTAATAATATAAGTGTTTTACTTTTAAAACTTTCTGAACATTTCTTTTTCAGTTTGCTCTTAGAGCTTATGAGGATTACAAAAAAGGATTTGATACTTCAACATATGATTAACTAACATTTGTGGGTATTATTATGCTATATTTGTGTGCCATGTTACCTAAAAATTGTATTCAAATGGTTAAAATGGCAATATGGAATAAAAATAGCTTACAATGATATATTTCTTAATTAAAATTATATTTTATATTTCTTTATTAGATTGTCTCAAAGGAGCCCATCCCACTTGCTCCAGTGAATCTATAACAGTATTAACATGGGTCTATGCGTGGTTTCAATGCTAGATCCTAGGTTAGTATTTTGTTATTTGTGCCATTTCTACTTTCTTCTATTTCCTGGCTTCTATACAGTAATAATTAAAAAAAAAAAAACTGACTACCCTTGCTATTTAGGAATTCTTACAAATATTTGAGAAAAATGAGATTCAATCCCCAAGAATCTAATTGACTCAAACTTGCAAAACCACGCTTTTTCATTTCCCAAATGAAGATCTCAACATTAAATCCATTAGAAAAACAATTAATATTACAACGCATATCATTTGCATGATCTTTATCATAACTATCGACTTGCTAAACTAAAATGTTAGGCACCAAGGTCTGCAACTTCTCCATTACAAGAGTCTTCGGTTGCCACCCTCTTCCCCACATTCTTGTAGGAGTACTTGCTAGCCACATACATATATATGCCCAAATTTAATGCACCCATGGTTCCCAATAGCCAGTAAAATAAATCTAGACGACTACCATTGATGCTTTTCGCAAACCACGGGTGTCCTCTACCGGTTGTTATCTTATCAACAATACTTATTAGTAGACTACTAAGGAAACTTGAGACTCCAATTACACTGAGATAGAGGGCGATCCCCAAACTTCTCATATTATCTGGCACTTGATCATAGAAGTATTCTTGGAGACCCACCAAAGTGAAAACATCAGTGACACCAATCAACAAGAATTGTGGGAGTAACCAAAACACACTCATAGGAAGTGGACCATTAAGACTGCCCAGCATGGTATGTTTCTTAGCAATGTTTAATCTCTTTCTTTCGGTTAATGCCGCTGTGATCATGCATACAACTGAGAAGAACATCCCAATTCCTATCCTCTGGAGTATGCTAATCCCTCTCTCATTTCCTGTTACTCTTCTAATACTTGGAACCAAGATCTTGTCATATATCGATATGAGAATCACCATGAAAAAGGCGGAGAAACCAAAAAGAGAAGCTGGGGGCATCTCAAAGTGGGGACCCATCTTTCGGTCCATGGTGCTTCCTTGTTTGATGAAGAAAGTGATTCCTTGGTTAATGCAAATACCAAAGATCAAGCAAGATAACCATATGGGAGTTAAGCTTAGAATGAGCTTGGTCTCTTCTACTTGAGTAACTGTTGCTAGTCTCCATGGATTCTTGTACATTGTCGATTGGCTCTCCTTCCCGTCTGCCTCAAGAATTGCAGCTTTATCAAGAAACCTAAAATTATGAACTTTGGGTTAGAATTACAACTTAGAAAGTAGAGGAAGAAGGAATTTGGACTAAGAGTTCATTAGCTTTATCCTTTTTCCTTTTCTCTTTTCTCTTTTGTTATCAAAGAATGGCATTCAGACCTGCAACTGAAGTTGTGATAATGAGAGCACTAAACCACTGGGTTACTAGGATACACATGTTACTATTCGAATGATTTATTGATAATTATGGAGCACTACATATTAAGCTACTATCTAATATGCTTCGGCTAAGTGGTAGACACGTCAGTTTGGGTGAGGGAGGACATGGTTCTAACCCTTGAGGTGGGTGCGGTCGTATTAGCACGAATGCACCAGATCCCATCCGAAGGTTCTAGCCCTTGAGGTGTATCCCCAATACACCCAACAATATGATCTACCCTTTTTCTTTTTCTTTTTCTTTTTCATGTTAATCACGTGATCCACCATCTTGTGGGGGCGGATCTTCTTGGTGGAGTGCTATCAAATCACTGTTTTAGCTCATTTTTTGGGGGTTAATTGAGAATCAAGAAGTCAATGACTCTAAATTAATTAATAAGCCCTAGTACGTCATTGTATATATTGGGGGATTAAAGTATATCAATACACAATGAATGGGTTAGATTCCTATAATGTAGATGTGTCAAAAACAGAATTTCCCGTTGAAGTAGAAGGGAAAGTAAAATTTCACACTACAAGAGATTAGGATGTAGTTTTTGTAAGTCCTGGGCTTTATGAAAAGAAGTAAAGCCTCACTTCAAATCCTCTTGCGGAGCACTTTGAGCATTGAAAATCTCCATGATGACTCTTAAATAAATTTCTAACATCAACCATGAAATTTGAAGCTTGAAAAGCGATATAAATTTTGCGGATCTGTAAACACTAATTTTTAGAGCAAATTGGAGGTGGTTTTGATAATGTAGTACAATATATACTATTTTTAGAGCTTAAAATCTTTTTTTTTTTTTCAACCGTAATGATAAAGTCTGAAATGATCAATTTGAAGGCTTTTCAATGTCAAAACTGCATTTTTGGTAAGTTTTGAAGCGAGGATTTACTTATTTTGATGAGGCCATAGCTCTATCAAGATATTTCCCATTAAATTATTATCTTATGTCCTACTTGCATCAGTACTACTAGAAGTGTGCTGTGAGAGAGAGAGAGAGAGAGAGAGAGAGAGAGAGATCATGGCCATCAGAAAGTATCCTCGACCTTGATAAAAACCAAAGAAAATGGAGACTCAGATGCTCACCTGAACTTATTGGTGTGGCAAAGGATTCTGTCTCCTACTTTACCCGACTTGGGGGCCTCATACAACTCACAAGCATTAGAAGGGAGAGGAAGCTTTCTCTTAGCCATGGCTGCAACAAAAACCTGTAACATTGGAGTCAAAGGGCTCCCCTTTGGCACCATATACCTATAATAAGGGGTCCCTAAGAGTAGCAAAATTATAGCAAGGGCCAATGCTGCAGTTAATATGGATTGAGCCATGCCCCAACTAACATAGTCTTGAACATAGACCACAACTGTGACCCCCAAAATAACGCCGCTACATAGGCCGAAGTACCACCAATTAAAGAAGGAGATCTTCTGCTTTCTCTCTTCTGTGTGTTGTTCGTCGAATTGGTCGGCTCCAAAGCTTTCGAGAGATGGCTTGTGGCCGCCGGTGCCCAGGGAGACAAGGTAGATGGCGACAAAGAAGGCCACCTCGTGTGCTCTCATGGGGTTGTGGGTGCATGGCTGGGTGGTGCACGTTGCAGGTTTGAGGGCTGGGAGGAATTCAGAGAGGGTCAGGAGGCTCAAACCCTGTAAAGAACCAAAGGTTGTGAGAGAGAGAGAGAGTGTGTATGTGTGTGTGAGAGAGGGAGAGAGAGAGAACCCTTCTCTATGTGCGTGTGAAAAAGATATGACCCTTCTCTACTGTTGGGACTAAGGAGTAGCACCTTGGTGTACCATACTCACCAATCATGTCTAGTATATGGTACAGCTCAACAATATCCACCGTCAGGTCCAAATAACCGATGGCTGAAATTAACCATAATACTCCATGAAGCACAATCACAGGATGTGGTAAGTCATCACCCACCATCGTTGGAAATGGATGGTGTATGTTCCAGTGCTCTACGAGATACAATGTACCATAGGTCTATGGTATATTTTCCTATTTTTTAGTAAAAAAATTATATATATACAGGGCAGCATTTTTACTTGTAGAAGTAAGGTTGCTTAATCTAGAACATCTATTTTAGTTAGACACTATAGATTTGATTAAGAAGTTTTATCAAAGAATTGATATTGTCTTAGAAGATGTACCAAACTTATACTATTCAATTGAAGTACACATTTTAAACCCCCTAATTTTTGAAGTACACATTTTAAACGCCATAATTTTTTCATTTTTACAATTGCTACGTTATATAAACCACACCCCTTAAATAATAAAAACAAAGTAATATTAGTACTTCTGTGAGCACTGAGCAAGAGGCCAACAAAAAAGCAAAAGCAAAGGAAGGTGCTTAGGGTTTAAAGAAGCTTACAGCAAGGTATATAATGGAGGAGATGAGGATAATGGGAAATCTTCCCATGTAAGAATCAGCTAAGAATCCACCAACTAAAGGCATCACAGTTGTCACACCTAACCAATTATTAACATTTTTAGCAGCAACTTTCACCTCTTGATGAAGGATTTTAGTGAGATAAGTGATAAGGTTTGATGCAATCCCAAAGTAACTGAGTCTCTCACTAAACTCTATGCCTGAAAGAAATCACCATGAGAAAAGCAAGAAACAGCTCAGTGTCTCACTAGAAGAAGTGCAAAGTGCAAGACATTTTTAGAGAGAGAAAGGTGTTTGACAAAGAACCATGGCCAACAATTCATAACATTTATGTACCAATACCTATGATGAAAAGAGCAGCTTTCCATCCACCAGTTGAAGCTCTAAGAGGAATTCTACAATTGTAATCCACAGAAGAATCATAGACCCATTTCTTGCTGCCCTCATCTCTCTCTAACCCAATCTCCATCTCTCAATGGTCAGCTCTCAATGCAACAACCCTAAAGTGTAGAACCAGTGCTTGCTGATAAAAATAAAGAGAAACCCACCTCAATTTATAGCAAAAAAACATTCCACATTTTCCGTATTCTTTATTCCAGGGTTTTGACTTTCAACCCTACTAAAGCCATTGCTAGCCTCAAAATCCATGACATGACTACATTGGCAACCCATTAGGCCATCTGTAGAGAGAGAGTTAAAAATCATTGCAAGTAAGAAACACCTGTTAGGCCTTTGAGCCCATGGACTTGGATTCCTATTCGTCTTTCTCTTCTTCTTTTTTTCATGTTCTTTAGTAAGTGCCATGAGTCATGGCCTTTCAAAGAGCCTATGCACACTGTAGCTTTCAAGAATTGCGTATGATATTGTTATTTTGTTGGAGTGGATTTGATAGTGGACCTGGAATAATGGAACCCAGTTTCAAGAGTAATTGGAGTTTTGACACAAGGAAAGGAAGGAATTTTAGGTGGGTAGGAGAATTTTGAAAAAGAAAAAAGCTGGAGCAAAAGGGAAAGTTGTTATCCCTTCATTTAGAATGGCATGTTATGTATGACCAAACTCTCCAATCAAATTCAAACAATGACATGTAGATCTCCATCATCACTATATATGAGAGTGATTTCATGCAATAATTTTATGGTAATATAATAAACCAATCCTAAAAAATACATGGGTCATTTGTTTGACCCCAGTTTTTAAAGGAAAAAGCTGTGAGGCTCTAAACAATCAAATTAAGGCGCATCTCAAAAATTTCATTAGAAAATGTTGTTTCGATGCCCAAATATTCTCAAAGTGATCATCTTGACTTCAAGATACATAGCCATGAGAAAAATATGAATTTCAAGTTTTGGAAATAATGCATCTTGTAATGCATTTTTGGACCGTCAATTTTTAAGTCTTTCAAGTTTCATAGATCTGCTCGATCTATACTATATTTGAAGCTTTAAATGTTATAATTAGATATGAAAATATGTTTTAAGGCTATCACAAAGATCTCTAGTATTCAAACCACATTTCTCAACACTATTTGAAGGTGTGCTTTACTTTGATTGTTTAGAGCCTTGGCCTTATTAAAAACCTCACCCATAATTAAATATACAGTCTTTCCACTGTAATGAGCTATCGTAGGAAGAATTTGAAAGCACACTATAGAAATTATTTTTTAGCCCAATTAATATAAGTCATCCACTTTATAAGATACTTAGATTTAGGCTTTAGAAGGAATTTTTTCCTTTTCAAATTTTTTAGATAGATTTATTATTATCAGATTAAAAATATTAAAAAAAAATTTTGATTTTGTATTCATAAAAGCCTAGATCTTGAAATTCACCAAATGAATGGTCTAAATTCATTTGTGAGGGAACTCATTTTTACCATATCTGGGGCGCAAATTGAATTTTAATTTTTTTAGATTGATTATTAGGGTGAAGAAAATGTGTTTATAAATTTGAAGTCATACAAATGCCACAAACATTATATTTTATAGGTGTTTTTTCATCATATTATGATGATACTATGACATGGAATTATTTTCTCTATAGTAATATAATGAGACAATATTAAGAAACTACGCTAGAGCGATTTGTTTTATCTCAAATTTTTAATATACACTCTTTTCATTCTACTGAACAATCACAAAGGATAACAAAAATTTTAAGAAACATCTTAGAAAGTGATTTTTTAGCTCAATTAATAGAGGCCATCCATTTTAGTGAGACCCTTAGATCTAGGCCTCAAAAGGATTTTATTTTCTTTTTTAAATTTTTTAGGTTGCTTTATTATTATTAAATGAACATTGTTAACAAAAGTTGATTTTGTATTTGTAAAGGCCTAGATTTTGAAATTCACCAAATGGATATTCTAGATTCATCAGTGGAGGGACTCATTTTGAGCATATCTAGTGCACAAATTGAATTTTAATTTTTCTAGGGATTGATTCTTATGACGAACAGAGGGTTTGTACAATTTTTAGGGTCATACATATGCCGCAAACATAGTTTTCTAAAAGTGTGGCTCATTATGTTACAATAATACGGTGACATGAAATCGTTCCCCATCTATATATATATATATATATATATATATAATCTTGAGATCGAGATAATCAGTTTTAAGATTTTCACTGCCTGAACCATATTTTCTATTGGGTTTTTGAAGTGCACCTTATTTTATGCTATAAAATTGATGCCTTGTATAAACTTTTTCTTATAGGCAGGGGTGAAAACATTGGTGTAACCATAACCAAGAATTAAATGCTCCTTGAAGAAAATTATATAAGAGTGATTTACCTAATGATAAAGTTGCATGAGAGAGAAATAATCAAATTTAAATACATTTAAGAAAGAACAATAAAATATCCTTAAATGGTGTTTGTGCCCATGGATAATGGATTTGAAGTTAGAATCCCCCTTATCCAAATTAATTGGATTGTCTAGCCTGAGTCGGCAAAAGGATGATGTAGGACCATATAGTGGGCAAACATTATTATTTTACCTAATCTAGGTATACAGAGGAATTTGAGGGTTAGCAAGCATAAAGAGAGTTCTACCATCTTTTTTGGTTTTGTTTATCAGCCAGCATATGCTCATTTTTATGTACTTTCAACTAATGATCAAATAATCTCCAACTGTTTCACAAATGATTCTGATTACCACTTTCAGAACAGCAATCTATGAAACAAAAACCAAAATTAAAAAGATAATTAAATTATACCTAAACAAGTTCAAGAACATTGCTCCGGCTCGGGACTTTGATGCAGATAAAAAATGGGTTGATTCAAAATCTAATCTTATTTTTCACATTTTTAGTTTTTAGATATGTGGGTAGATTTTTTACTAATTTTTTAGTATTATATTTATTTTAGGAGTTAGGGTTATATTTCTTCTTTAAATATTTTTTAGTTACTTCTTTATTTTTTGAGTAATGATCCTATAGGACCTTCCCCCACCAATGTGTAGAACCCAAAGGATCACCATTAAAATTGATACGGATCTCTAAAAAAGTTATCACATGAGTGTAGAACTTGACTTTTTCTATAGATCCGTGCCAAATTTAATGGTGATCCCTTTAAGTCCTACACACATGGGTGTGAAGGGATCCTATAGGATCATTTCTCTTATTTTTTTTAGAAGATAAACAATTCCATCATTTTTTAATAAGTATTAGCAAGTCGCACTTTCGTTAAGTATTAGATAAGTTCATCTAAGCATTAGATAGAGTTAAGCCTTGTAGGATGGTTTGTTTTAGATAATATTTTGGAGTAGTTATCCATTAGGGAAAAAGAAGATACGTTTCTATTAAGAGGGCTTGGTAATAATTATCTTTCTAGGAGACGGTGGTTTTAGATAGATTTGCCTCCTAATTATTGGGTTTGATGTTAAGATGAAAATAAAAGTGGCTTGAGGTCATTTCTTTCTAGGAGGGATAAATAGGTTATTTTTTTTATTATTTTTAAAAAAGGTTGGTTTTTTACCTGAGAAAAACGTTGACGTTTTTTTAGGAAGGATGATCCTTTGCTGTAGTATGGAATTCTGTTTTAAAAAGGAAGCACGTTATTGTAAAAGGGAGATTGAATTTTACGGAATAAAGAAAGTGTTTTTTTGGAGAGAGAGGCCCGTGGGTGTTGTTTTTTCTCTTGCGTTTATGGGCCAATACCGGAGTACTCATATCCATGCATTTTATTCTTTTTTCTTGATTTCCTCCACAATTTTTATTGCTCTCTCTTAAACACAGTTATTTTTGTCGGTGTTGTTTGCCAATATATTTTATACTGCGTCAGACTCGAACTCTGCCTGCTTGAGGCGAGTAATTTGGGTGAGTCCACTCTCTAGTGTAGTGTATCGGCAACTAAAAGACACAAAAAACACAAAAAATAAAGTTTATTAAAAATAAAATAAAAATAGTAAAATCAAACTAAAATTTTAATTTAAAAGTTCAAAAGAAAATGGAAAAAAATGTATAAAATATGGATTTAAAAAATGGATTCAAGCCTTAGTGGTATTTCAGAAACATTGAACTTACATATAAATTATTTATAGATTGATATTAGAAATTGATATATTTTTTGTTTTTTATTTTTAAATACCCCGGATGGCTTGGCAAGGGTCAAGCCTGAGCGAAATTCCACCATGGCCCAAGTCCCAGGCCTACAAGTGTACATGTTCTAGGTTAACTGAAAAGTATAAAAGATGGTGTTCATCTTTGATTGGAGAAAGTAGAGAAATATGCTAGTCGGTGACAGAAGTGGAGTTGTAGTACTTAGCAAGACTCTGGTTGTGAAAAGGAGATACTCACCTCCCATGGTGGCCAGCTTTAGTTTCTGCTGAAGTCATTGATAGCATACAGCTCTGAAGAAGACATTAGCTAACCCATATGGATTGCAGAACATTCGGCAAGAGTGAGTGTGATGTAAGTCTGAGCATGCTTGCCATGCCATTTTTCTCGCTTATCATCAGTGTTTTAGATAAAGGAATTGGGTGTAGACTCGGGCACAATGGGGTGGTCGTCGACATTCGAAAATTAGGTGAAAAAAGAAGAAAAAAGGTATCCGCTTGGTTCTGGACAACCCGGAGTGATTCGTCGGTTCGGGGTCATAAAGAACCAGGGACCCTCCATTTCCAAGTCGAATTAGGTGACCGATGTCCCACCTTTGGGTTGGACCGATGTTGTCAAAATCGCTTATGGAGGTCTCTTTCTTTGGCAAGAAAAGGGAAACACTTAGGTTCTTCGGCAAGTCTGTGAGCATATTTCTAAAACTCCAAAAATAAAAATATTACAATCAACTTGATACTTTTGTAATTTCTTTGTTTTCTAATATAAAAGCATATGTTATGAAGTTATTAAAATTAAGGAATTGCTTTTCTGGCATTTTGTATATTCTATGGCTACGTCTATGAAATTTTTAAATATATAATGGGTTTTTCTGAAAAATTTACTTATATACTTATTTTAATCGAACCATTTTTGTAACCGTATTTCATTTTCACCGCATAATTTTATCTAGTCAATGACGCTACCTTTTCTTTCTTTCTATCACCACCAGCAAAGTGATT